GGGGTGGGGGGGGGGGGGGGGGTTGTGTGTTATTAAAAATAATGCCCCCCCCCTGCTCTGAGAAAGGCCTCCTTGGCAGGATGTGTGCATGGGGAACACGCGTGTCGCCGTCCCAGCCGTGGGGAGACCCCCGGAGCCTTCATCCATGGGGCGCGCCCATCCCCGTCCCCTTTGGGCTGGGGGGGGGCCACCAGGGAAAGCCTCAGGGAGAAGCATCGGTGGGAGCCAAAGCTTCATACCCACAGCCCCCCCCGGACCCCCCCAGGCCCCTCACTGGTTGGGGATGATGTAGACGCTGTCCTCGCCGGGGGTCTGCGTGTTGGCGTAGATGGGCTGGTCCCCGGAGACAGCCTCACTCTCCAGAAAATAGTCGTCGTCCACCGGAACCTGGGGTCTGGGGGGGACACACAGAGGGGTGGCCCCCCCGCACCGTGCCCAGGCGATGGGGCAGGTCGGGGGGGGAGCTGGTCCCTGATGAGGGAGCGAACCCCATGGGGTGGCTTTGGGGGTGTGGGTGGGTGGAAAGGGCTCAGCCCTGGCAAGCGCCTGGGCTTTGGGGGTGGCGGGATGGGATAATGTGGGATGGCACGGGATGGGGGGACGTGGGATGGCATGAATGGGACCGGATGGCATGGCACAGCATGGATGGGATGGGATGGCATGGCATGGCATGGCATGGCATGGCATGGGATGGCACAGCGTGGCATGGCACAGCGTGGGAAGGGATGGGACATACCCCAAGCAGCTGATCCCCGTGCCGGATCCTCACCTGTACCGCTGCTCCTGCCATTCTGGCGTCCAGCCCCGCGCGGCAGCCGGAGCGGCGCAGGGGCTCATGAAGATATTCTCATAATCCGGCGCGGCAGCGGTGGCATCGGCGGCACCGATCTCAGCGGCCCGGCTGATGTAGCGGGGCTGCCCGTGGGCCGCGGCAGACTCCCGCTTACCCCACCCCGCGCCGGCAGCAGCGCCGGCCACTTTCCTCCGCCGGTAGCAAACCACGGCGGCGATCGCCAGCAGCACGGCCGCCCCGACGGCGGCCCCGACCGCGCCGGCCACCAGCCCCACGTTGCCCTGGCATTCCCGGGTGTGGAAATTGGTGACGTTGAAGGAATCGTCTTGGGACATGAAGCACTGGCACCAGAGCGCCGTGCCCTCCGGCTGGGAGCAGGCTGCCAGGACGCTGCCCACCACGTCGCAGTGGCACGGCACCGCCAAATAACGCAGGGTGTCCTGGAAGGCCGTGGTGGGCACGGCGGGCAGGGGGTTACCCTGAAGCCACAGCTCCTGCAGAGCCGTGGCGTTGGCGAAGAAACCGGCGGGCAGATCCCGTAACCGGTTGTGCTGCAGCCGGAGATGCCGAAGCCCCTGCGCTCGGCTCAGGAAAGCGTCCGGCAGCTCCCGTAACTGGTTGTACGACAGGTCCAGGTTTTCCAGCTCCGGCTCGACGCGGGACGAGGGGCTCAGGGCCTCGATGCCGTTATGGCTCAGCCACAGCCGGTTCTGCCGCTGGAAGAGGCCCCAGTCCAACTCGGCGCATCGACGGCTGCTGTTGATCAGCGTGAGCTCGGCGGGGGCATCCGACGGCACGGTGAAGCAGGGGGCCGCGGGGCGCAGCGCCAGCAGCAGCAGCGGCATGAGGGGGGCTGCGGGGTGCCCCATGGCCCCTCCGCCCCACCGGGCGCCTGGGTGGAAAATTAGGGAGGGGGGGTGTCAGCAAAACCCACCTGAGCCCCCTTCCCATTCCAACTGAGCACACCCTCCCAGCGCAAACCAGTCTGGCACCCACCCCGCTGCCTCTCTGCCCCGGCAGGGCAGCACCCAAGGGTCCTGGCAG